TCTAGAATCGCATTGAGATTAGTTATAGAAAGCCCTACTGGTCCAACAATTAAGGCACGATACAAGTAGGGCGGGCCCACCCGCTCTTTGCAGTTGTCCGGGTCCTCGAGTCGAATATCAGCAACCGGCGCCGCCCGCCCCGCGCGCTGCTCACAGGCGCCGCGTCGCCTGCCTCATGCCGCCGCCACCGGCCTCTCTCCCGGGCTCCCAGGCGCGGCGCTCGCGCCGGGCCTCGCGCCTCCTCCGAATTCCTCCTCGGGCAGCGACCGCAAACACGATCTTATTATTGTTCTCGCGCGCGCTCAGCATCCCCCCCGCCCCGCTTCCCGCTCCCCTCCCCTCCCGCGCCGGCCGGTTAATTCCTAGGTGCACGGCCGGTTTTCGCGGAGAAACCGAGCGCGCCAGCCCGGCTGCTCGGCGGGCGGGCGGGCGGGCGATGGGTGCGTCCTCCCCCAGGAACGAAGCCCGCGACGGGCGGGAGAGCCTACTCCGAGGACGCCCGCCGCTTGCTCTCTTTTGTTCTTGGCCGGGAGCTGCCTGCCTCAGCCCAGCCAATCACCACCCGGCCGCCCCCCACCCCGCCCGGCCGCGCCACCTTGGGGGGCGCTCCCACCGCGCGCCCCACGCCCACCTCCCGCCAACTCGACCCCCGGCCCCGGCGCCCCCCGGGCCGGCCAGCTCTGCGGTGCTCTCTGGTGAGTGGGGGGACAAAGGCGCTCCGGGCCACGCGAGGAGACCCACCGCCCCCGGAGTCCGCGACCTTGTTGGATTCTTGGCCCCCCCAGGACCTGCCCTTAGCAGTGCCGAGGGACCCACCTGGGGACAGGCGCTTTACCTGGGAGCCACTGGAGGATGTCGCATTTGCCCCCGGTGGCACAGCCGGGATTCGAACCTGGATCGTTCTGCATGAGGCCAGAGTCCGGGAGCGGTCCTGTTTCTCTGGGTTGGGGTTGCATAGACCTGCTGCTTTTGCGGACGGTCTCACTCTGGGAGGTCACTTACTTCCTCCACTCCTGGCGGTATTTGGGACACCGTTTCTGAAATTGGCATGTGACCATGTGGTTGTGGGGGTCTGTGCCTACAGGGCCTGAAGCCTTGGAACAAGCTGAGCACGGACCACTCTTCTACTCTGAGCTTCCTAACAGGCTGTTTTCAAAGACATTTTGGGAGAGAGACGCCGCCCAACACCCTCTTCGTTTCAGAGGAGTAAATAAAATGACGCAAAAAAGTCTTAGAGTCTGGCTGCATCAACCTCCAGCCTGCTTTAAGAGGTCAGCAGGCCGGCCCCTGAGCGCAGCCGACTTCCTGTGGCCTGCACCCTGGCCCAAGGATAGTCTGGGCCGGCTCTCCCATCCCTGTCTGCTCTCCCTTTTGCAGGAGCTACACTCTTTTCCCAGCACCGCCTGCCTCTGTTGCGTTGGAGAATCGTGTGTGTGGTTGTGTGTGTGTGTGTGTGTGTGGTTGTGTGTTTTAACTCTGGTCTTGTTCCTTAGTGCTGGACTTCCGAAACTGGGGGGCTGCAAAGTTTCAAGACCCCTTCCTCACCTACTCGGCAGGTTCACCTCTTTCTCTTTTCCCACTGGGAAAGGCTGATCTAAGTCCTTTCGCTGTACTAGTTGTCCACTGAGCTGTCTCTCTGTTCTGGTGTCTGCTGTGTGCAGCTGGCATGTCAGGATCCACGCAGGAGCCCGTGGAATGGTTCCTGGGTCCTCTGTGTCAAAGCCAAATCCCTCTGATTACCTGCCGGAGCGGCCAGCTGTCCAAAGCCAGTTCCACCCAACCTGTGTGGGCACAGGTGGGTACCAGGGAGAGGAGAGAAACGAGAGGAAATTTTGGAAGGCACAGTAGAGACATGATTATCAGATAGATTATCCTGGCGGCCAGTGCAGAGCTGGATTCGAGGGTAAGAGACTGGAGGTGAGATCCTGGCTGAGGGGCTGTCACGAGGAGAGAGAAGACAGGGCCAAGACAGAGCGTCCGACTTGTTGAGTGGCAGGTAGGACGGAAGAACGAGAGATCAAAAATGAGTCCCTGGTTTCTGACTTAAGCAGTAGGATGACTAGTTTGACCCTCAGCAAAGTGAGGGAATTCATAAAGAGTGGGCAAGATCTGAAACAAGTTCTTGAGTGGTTTTGGATATGTTGAGATTTCCGTGGGCATCCAGAGAGATGTCTAGTGTTCAGCTGAATAATGTAGTTTAGAGAAAGCGATAAAGGCGGAACATAGGGATTGGAGTCATACCAAAACACAAGTGGTGGTTGAAACTTTGGTGGAGGTTGCCGGGGAGGTTGTACAGAAAGAGAAAAGGCAGTGCCCAGATTTGGAGCCAGGTAGCACCAGTGTTTAACAGTCAGGCAGAATAGTATAGCATTTCTTGAAGGAAGGAAGTGCACAGATATGTGTGTATATATATATATATATATACACACACACACACATATACACACACACACACACACCCCGCAGGGAGGTTAAGACAGGTATGGAAGGAAATGGGTCCATTGACTGTGACGGCTGAGAAGTCATTGGAATCTTTCACTGAATGGTAGTAGGAAGAAGCTGGAGGGAGAACAGAGGCTTGAGATGTGAGTGCAGAATGCAATGTGGCTGCAGGAAGTACACACAACTCATTGCTAGCTGTGGAGAGGGGTAGCGAGAAAGTGTAGGGGGAGAGTTGGTCCATTGTGGCTGTTTGGGGGGTGGGGGGAGTTGGTCCGTTGTGGCTGTTTGACTGGTTTTTAAAGGGAGCAGAACTTTGCATTTGTAATGAGAACAAGCAGGCCATAAAGTGGTTGAAGACGGAGGCCAAAGTGGGTGATGGATGGAGTCTGGTTATTTTGAAAAGGGGCAAATGTCTCCCAGTCTTGGTTTTGGTTTCATGTTTTCAGTTGAGTCTGACTGCTCAGCCCATATCACTTGTGGGACTCCCATGCTTAACCACGCCAGACTTAATAACACACCAGGTGGGCTCCCCGCATGGGCTCCTTCCGGCTGGGCATCAGGAGTGTCCTAATGTCCCTGGCTGAGAGCCTGCCTGACATTGCAGCCAGGTTGGATGCAGACCACCTTGTCGACACGTGGCTGCGGGGGATAAAGCACTGTCCTGAGCTTTCACACAGGTTCCCTGCGTTATGCTGTGGCCATTCCAAGCAGTGCTCTATTCAAATATTTAACAGGTCATATGCAACCCTCTAGAGATATCATTTAGGACCATTAAAGAGCTTGATATATTTTATTTTAGTCTTCTGCTACTTGGGAGAAAATCCATTCACAAATGGTGATAATATCAACTCGATCTGATCCCTTTTGATTTCAACATCCTCAAATCCTTGTGGGCTGAGACTTTACCTTGCCCTTGGCTTCTTGCCATCCTCTCCTCACTCATACACATCCACCTGTTTTAGTGGACTTGGGTTCTGGGTTTTTTTTGTTTGTTTGTTTTGTTTTTTTTACAGGCAGAGTAGACAGTGAGAGAGAGAGAGACAGAGAGAAAGGTCTTCCTTTTCCGTTGGTTCACCCCCCAATGGCAGCTGCGGCCAGCGTAATGTGCTGATCCGAAGCCAGGAGCCAGGTGCTTCTCCTGGTCTCCCATGCAGGTGCAGGGCCCAAGCACTTGGGCCATCCTCCACTGCACTCCCGGGCCACAGCAGAGAGCTGGACTGGAAGAGGAGCAACCGGACAGAATCTGGCGCCCCAACCGGGACTAGAACCCGGGGTGCTGGCACTGGAGGCAGAGGATTAGCCTATTGAGCCGTGGCGCCGGCCTTGGGTTCTGTTTTAACCTTTCTCTTTCATATCTTGACTCAGCTTCCTAATACAATGCCTAATAAAACCAGTTCCCTCAAATTCTGCCCCCAGATCCACCCATTCCATAACGCTGCAGCTGCCTGAATCTGTCACTGCCCCTTGTGCATGGAATGATGGTTATAAAGAATGTGCCTGGCGCACAGTAAGTGCTCATTAAATATCAGTTGATACTATTACCTTTGTCATGTTGCTATCATAAGATAAAAAAATGAGGAAAGGAAGTCAGGAAAAGTTGGTATTAATCTAACACACACACAGACACACGCACACACACACACAACACACACACACACTCACACACACACACACACACACCCCATGGTGGAAGAGAGCTCCCTGGCCCTTACATCAGAGTCCATGTCCACTTGTTCCACTCGACTTCTCTCTCATGTCCTCTGGCCCAATCCCAGGGGGACTGATCTCACATTCCTTGAAAAAAAAAAAAAGGCTGTTAAGGTACTGACACCCCCTTGAGAGACAAAAGAACTGGAAAATACTATTTGCGGTGAAAGAGAGAGCTCCCAACTTGGCGTGGGAGGAGAGAGCAGTTCTTGGCCAAAGGCACCGTGAAGTCAACATGGGGGCCTTGATGGGAGAGGGTAGGGGTCCGAGGCTGGGGTCAGCCCGCATTGCCAGAGCAGGCCTGGGGAGCAGCAGACATGGGGGCCTTGATGGGAGAGGGTCGGGGTCCGAGGCTGGGGTCAGCCCGCATTGCCAGAGCAGGCCTGGGGAGCAGCAGCAACTGTACAGAGAAGCAGCTCCCCAGTAACACCTGCAGAGGCCTGGTCATGGTCTCAACAGAGACTTCTTGAACTGTGACCCTAGGGAAGGAAGAGAGGTTTGCTTCAGCTCCTGGGTGTCCTTCCGAGACTCTGAGGCCAAAGGCCGATGGCACTGAGGTTGTTGGGGTTCTCACCCCTTCACTGTTCCGTCCCAGGCTGAGGAACAAACTGGGTAAACTTAATGAGCTACTAGCTATCTGTGAAGAAGGGTTCAAGTTGTAGAATGTGCTAAAGGTTTCTATAATTTGCAAAATTTTCTACTAGTTTTGCTAGCTTTATACATTATACCAATGTTGGTGTGTGTGTTGTTGAAGGGAACATTAGGTCAATAGGTAGTTCTTGTTTATTGAACAAACGTTTGTTGAGTACTGCTGTGCACCAGTCGCTGCTCCAGGTCTAGGGCCCATGGAGAGTAAGGAGAAGGATGAAGGAATCAAAACCAGATGAAGGAGTGTTGCAGGGGGTGTGTGCTGTGGCGCAGCAGGTTAATGCCCTGGCCTGTAGTCCCTGCATCCCATATGGGCGCCGGTTCGAGACCCGGCTGCTCCACTTCCAATCCAGCTTTCTGCTGTGGCCTGGGAAAGCAGTACAAGATGGCCCAAGTCCTTGGGTCCCTGCATCCGTGTGGGAGACCTGGAAGAAGCTCCTGGCTTCAGATCAGTGTAGCTCCAGCCATGCGGCCAGTTGGGGAGTGAACCATTGGATGGAAGACATCTCTCTCTCTCTCTCTGCCTCTCCTATCTCTGTGTAACTCTGACTTTCAAATAAATAAATAAATCTAAATAAAAAAGAGGCTAGGATATCCATCTTTCTTTTTTAATCTTTAAGATTTATATATTTCTTTGAAAGGCAGAGTTACAAAGAGAGGAGAGAGAGAGAGAGAGAGGTCTTCCATCTACTGGTTCACTCCCCAAATGGCCACAATGGCTGGGGATGGGCCAGGAGCCAAGGGGCCTCCTCTGGGTCTCCCACGTGGGTGCAGGGGCCCAAGGACCTATGCCGTCTTCCACTGCTTTTCCAGGCAAAAAGGAAAGCAGGGAGCTGGTAGGCAGTGGGTGGATGCTGGTGCTGAAGACGGAGGCTCAACCTGCTGCATGTGTCACAGCCCCAGCCCCAGGATATCCACCTCTAATCACCTCTATGGGGTGGAGGGTGTGGGGGAAACGGTATTTTGCTAAATTCTGGTGCTGAGCATGAAGAGGCCTAGCACCTCTTGGAATCTTGACCCTTCGTGTAAAGAATCGTAAATACTCAACTGGTGTGGAGAGGGAGTGGGGCACACGAAGCGAGACAGGTCCTGGAGAATGAAGAAGTGGGGGCAGCAGTGGTGTCAGGCATGTGAGTGAAGCCGTCATGGCTCCTCCAAGCCTGGTTAAGCTACCGTAGACAGCACCATGTGGCACACAGCGGGCTGTCTCCCTGAACCGTGCTCATCTTGCAGAGTCATGAGCAAGGGAACAGCGGCCGAGTTTGAGTATCCCTCCTCGGAAATGCTTGATTCTGAAGCGTTTCAGATTTTGGATTTTTCCAGATTTGGGGATTTTTGCATATAAATAATGAGATCGCTTAGAAATGGGGGCCCAAGTCTAAACATGAGATTCTTTTATATTTTGCATATACTCTCTTATGTGCATAGCCTATAGGTAATGTTATACAGTACTTTAAATAATTCTGTGTGCTTTGACTGTGACTCACTCTGAGATCCGGAATGGAATTTTCCACTTGTGGTGTTACATTGGCACTCAATAAAGTTTTGAATTTTGAAGGATTTCAGATTTTCAGATTAGAAATTGTCCATCTGTCGTTGTTTGGGGCTACAAAATTTTGGGGTGGGTTGTCAATGTAGGAAAAGACAACTGAAGCAGGATTTATTAAATTAGATACAACGGAAGAGAGTTAATGGCCTGGAAGATAGATCAGAGGGGAAACTATTCAGACTGAAGCCTAGAGAGATAAAAAGGAAGGAAAAGAAAATGCGAAACACCATAGTGTAGACATGCCAACATGCCATTGGCTAGTATTTGCAAGGGACTCTCTTTCTATCTTACGAATTTGGTGGAAAAGCCCAGTAGGGAGTCCCAAATCGTGATGATGAAGGAATGAACCATAAACAGCGCTACAGCAGTGGTCACAAGAATTTTCCAAAAAAACGATGAAAGCTGTTGCCGTGGGTCGAGTGTATTTCCCCAAAATTCATGTGTTGAAGCCCTAACCCCCTATGTGACGCTAGTTGGAGATGGAGCCTTTGGGGACTAATCAGGTCAACAGTGCAGAGCCTGTGGTGGGCCGATTGCCTCCATCAGAAGAGGTGTAAGAGAGCTTGCTGCCTCTCCCGCTCTTTCTGCCACACGAGACGCACTGAGAAGATGGCGTCTGCAAACCAAGCAGAAGACAGTGGGTCTGCTCTCACCGGACGCCAGGTCCGCTGGGGCCTTGCTTAGAAACTTCCCAGCCTCCTGAACTGGGAAGGAGAAGTCTGTGGTCTAAGCCACCCAGCCCATCATACTTTGTTTCAGCGGTCTGAATTGCCTGAGACAGGTATCAAGCCACGCATTGAAAAGCATTTTAAACACCAGTCGAGATAAATGAGAAGAAAACCACACTCAAGAACATTGCAGTAAAACTGGTGAAATCCGTAGGCAAAGAGAATAAGGAAGACAAAGGCAAAAACAAGAAAAAGTGATGGATGACTTGTCGACAGAAAGGATATAGCCAATAACCCGACGTTCTAAACCAAGCAAATATCTGTACAATAAAAGATGAATAAAGACAGTTTTTAGACATATATAAGCCTGAGGGGCTGGTGCTGTGGCTCAGTAGGTTAATCCTCCGCCTGCGGCACCGGCATCCCATATGGGCACTGGTTCGAGTCCCGGCTGCTCCTCTTCTGATCCAGCTCTCTGCTATGGCCTGGGAAGGCAGTGGAAGATGGCCCAGATGCTTGGGCACCTGCACCCACATGGGAGACGCAGAGGAAACTCCTGGCTCCCAGCTTCAGATCAGCACAGCTCTGGCTGTTGCAGCCATTTGGGAAGTGAACCAGCGGATAGAAGACCTTTCTCTCTGTTTCTTCTCTCACTGTCTGTAAGTCTATCTCTCAAATAAATAAATAAATAAAAACCCTAGAAAACAAAAAAGAACCTGAGAAATCATCAATAACAGACTTGAACGAACTAAATGAAATTCTAAAGGGAATTAAACTTTTCTTTAAATGACCCAGATGGAAGCAGGGAGATATGGGAAGAAATGAGGAACAAGGCAAATAATAAATATTTGAGTAAACCTAAATAAAAATGGATTATCTAAAATTAAGTAGGGATTAGTTTCTTGGGTTATTTATATAGGGAATTAAAAATTCACAAAAAGTTTGAGGTAAATGGAATAAGAAAGTCCTAAGATAATGCAGAAAGTGGCAAAGACACAAACATAGTACATTTTAATAAGTTAAAAACACATGTGTGGGGACTGGCATTGTGGCTCAGTGGGTTAAGCTTTCACCTGAGTTGCTGGCATCCTATATCACAGTGCCAGTTCAAGTCCCTGCTGCTCTGCTTCTGATCCAGCTCCCTGCTGATGCACCTGGGAGAGCAGTGGAGGATGGCTCAAGTTCTCCCGAGTGGGAGAACTGGATAGAGTTCCTGCCTCCTGGCTCCAGGCCTACACCAGCCCTGGCCATTGTGGCCATCTGGGGAGTGAACCAGCAGGTGGAAAATCTCTCTCCTCTCCTCTCCCTCTCTTCTTCTGATGTTCTACCTTTTAAACAAATAAAGAGATATTTTAAGAAAAAGATTTATTTTATTTATTTGAAAGACAGAGTTACAGAGAGAGGTAGAGACAGAGAGAGGTCTTCTATCCGCTGGTTCACAACCCAGATGGCCGCAACAGCCAGAGCTGTGCCGATCTGAAGCCAGGAGCCAGGAGCTTCCTCCAGGTCTCCCACGTGGGTGCAGGGGCCCAAGGACTTGGGCCATCTTCTACTGCTTTCCCAGGCCACAGCAGAGAGCTGGACTGGAAGAGGCGCAGCTAGGACTAGAACTGGCGTCCATATGGGATGCCGGCACCATAGGCGGTGACTTCACCCGCCGTGCCACAGTGCCGGCCCCATAAAGAGATCTTTTAAAATACATGTTGTGATCTCTAGGATAACCATTAAAAGAATAATAAAACAGTGCTCAACTAATGGGGAGATAACAACATAATAAATAATCCAAAATGGCAAGAAAGGAGACAAAGAAGTACATAGAACAGTGGATCAAATATGAAGCAGTTACATGGCAAGGTTAAACCCAGATGCATCAGGACCACGGGAACTGAAAAAGGAGCAAATACTACCATTACAGTGAAAAGACTGTCAGACTGAATTAGAAAGACAACTGCACACTGCTGACCAATGATGTATCTTGAGTAAGGATATCAAAGCTCAAAGTAAAATGATAATGAAAACTTTGCAAGGCCGGCGCCGCGGCTCAATAGGCTAATCCTTGTGGCGCCGGCACACCGGGTTCTAGTCCCAGTTGGGGCGCCGGATTCTGTCCCGGTTGCCCCTCTTCCAGGCCAGCTCTCTGCTGTGGCCCGGGAGTGCAGTGGAGGATGGCCCAAGTGCTTGGGCCCTGCACCTGCATGGGAGACCAGGAGAAGTACCTGGCTCCTGCCATCGGATCAGCGCGGTGCGCCGGCCACGGCGGCCGTTGGAGGGTGAACCAA